AATGTTGAAGTTAAAAAAAAGCAAAAACAATCCAATTCAACCTTGTTTATTAATTGTAGGAACTGTAGTGAACCCAAGTCAAATTTTAGTTTATTTTGMTGAAATTAAGTACACATTTTTTTCAATAGTTAAAGCATTAGATATCTGCATMAAAATTTATCATGCATTCAATATAGAATATCCTATAGAATCACTAAATGTTTGGTTATTTCTCCAACGTTTTTTTTATAACATAAAATTGAAGTCAGATAAGCCAAGTCCTTTGATTAATCAAATTATATCTGAATTAACATAATGTAATGTCTTGCTATGTACAAAATAAAAATACTTTTTATCACCATTAATTAATTTGTGTTTTATTTTTATTAATACTTGACTAAAAAATTGTTAACAAAATGTAATAGGTACTTAATACTTAATAATTAATTTTTATAGTTGGATTTATTTAATTAATTAATTAATTATTTTAAATCTAAATCCTATTAACCAAATTATCAATAAGTTGTTGTTCAGCATTAATTATATATGCAAAATTAAATATWTATATATATCTGAATCAAAGTGGGTCAAACATCTTTTAATATTAAGACAATGTTAATAAAGTTAACAATATATTCTTCTTGTTTTAACAATTCATTTTTTATTAATTTGATTGGYGGTTGTATACATTTAATAAAATTGATTGTTAATATAAAAATCCCAACATCATTGAATTACTAATAATTAAAAAGCACTTTTGTTGAATTAATCTGGAAATTTGCAAAATTAACAAAACTTTTTGTTAATCTAACAATGTTTTTAAAAATATTATTTAAGAATTTAACAAGTAACTTAGTTGAATTAAGCGGATAGTTTAGTAAACTTACAATGTAATATGGACGATATGGTTRAACTATAAATTAACAAGATTTTAATTTCCAAATCAACAAACCTCCCTGTTGGCCCTATGTTAACAAGGAGTTTGTTAATTTAATTGGTAATTTAATTTATATTACTGATGTTTTTGGTTCTGTGTGTAACAGATCAAATGTAAGCAATTTTGTATGCATACCTGTATCCGTTATACAACTGGTTTCAGTTTCATCTTTTGACGTTGATGTTGATTCAATGTTCGACTCATTTATATTGTCTGTATCATGTTCTTTAACTAAAATAAATAAAAATTATTTAAATTAATTATATACAGTTAAATATATTTGTCATAGATAAAATTCAGAAATGATAGTGAATTTGTATGCATACCATCAGGGATATTCTCCTCATCAAATAAATTTTTTTGACAGCATTTACATTCACAAAACTGGTTTTGTTCGCCAAAAAATTTTTTCACCATAGTCTGCTGTGATTTCTTGGCCGATATGTATTGGTTTGATGGCTTGGGCGCACACAATTGCTTCGCCTTTTGTCACCCATTTCGTATTTGATGAACAGCAATGATTTAAGAAAGCAGCTGGTCCCAAGAAAATTAATTCTTTTTTGGATTTACTACTTATTAAAATAGAAAAGTCATTAACACCCTTCTGTAAAACAAAAAAAATATAAATTAAATAAAAATATAAATTTGTTAAAAATAGTTTTAGTTAGTCATCACTTGTATGTCTTGTGGTCGTATAGGTGCAGTTTGTCCACAAAGCGTGTTAATGACTGTACCCGCACTGATGAATTCAGTAGCCTCTATTTTTACATCATTATGCTTGTGTTTGAAACGTTCATTTTTAACGTAGTTATACGATTTGTCTTTCAATGACAAATTATAWAATTGGAGTTGTTTTTCCAATATTTTTTTCTCGAGTCTAGAGGTAAAATCAAATTTTACGGCTCCAGTTTTATGTGTTGTGAAACTTATATACAATTAAAAACATCAATGCAAAATATAATATATTTTTGAAGATAAAAAGAACTTTGGAAAAATTGTGAAAATATTAAATAAATATGAATAAAAAATTACCAAGGTGTTTGTCAATTGTAGTTGCTGTTGCAATGTCGTCAGACACGGACAATAACAGGGACTTCTGTTTTCTTGGACACATATTGTAACTAACYATAAGGCAAACGAACTTAACGAACGCGAAATAGCAAGTGATCATAGAGGAACGACAACGACGGCGACCGCGGTGGCGACGGTGGCGGTTGCGTTGATTGGTTGATTGGACCATGGCTGGGTAGTCAGCGGCGGAAGGGGGACCGTGCTTTAGCGCGTTGACGGCTGTGCGATTGTCGGTTKTAGATTTATATTCTTAGTAGGGATGGGAAATATGAATCATTTGAGTGAATTGATWCTCTTGATTCAATTCAATTAAATGAATCGATTCAATGTATCGATTCAGTGATTCATCTCGATTCAATGAACTACTCACTAAAAGTATTCAGATAAAATATGAATCGAAATATGAATGATTTACTTAACTGAATCTTTTGATTATAACGTAATTACGTAAACGTTTAATCAAAATAAAAAAAAGCACCACGATTCTACAAAACATTATTAGTTAAAGACAAAGATCAATATTCAATAAAAATGAATAAAGATATTAAAAAAAGGGTCTCGAACCCTGGTTAATTAGGTTAGTAACAAATGCATCTTCCCACTGCTATTAGGGCTTTGCGCATTAAGTTGATGTCAGCGCACCATTTGTTTTCTCTCTGACCCACGATCAACATAGACAGACAAAACGCATTTACACAGAATCATTTAAGAATTAGCTACTAACTAAAATATTTTTAAATAAATAAAAGTTAATTGGTTATGAATCATTACTTGTTAAAATATTTATAATTTATATATTTTTTATATTGGAAATAAATTGAGTTGTTTGAATGACAATACTTTAGTTTTAATTTTATTGTTTTAATTGYTTACTCTTTGCACAATTGCTATACTATATCWCAACTCAGTTGCCTTCATAAAAAATCGAACAAGAGAAAAAAATAAAAATTGTGCAGWTATTAATTATAAAATTGTTCATTTGATCGCTTTTTGCATGACGACGACAAATAACTATAATATTTAATGTAGAAAAATTATTGAGTACGTCAGAACATGTTGAGATATGGTGTATTTATATTATTTATTTTATATAAATAAAATACTCTAGTCTATAATATCAATTTTTACATCAAAATCATTTATTCCATACTCACAAAATAATATTACAGAACATACATATATAATTATGTCTTTGTTTAAACACATGATTAAACATGATTAAACATGTCCATGCAGGCTAGATTTGTGTGATAGATACTTTGAATTTTGTTCATATTTTGTATAAATAATAATCATTCACAACACACCAGTGACCACTGAAGTTTGTACTGTGTCTTGTCAATTCATATTTTTTAAATACGTTTGTGTATTAAATTAAAATTACCGGTGTTTTAATTACATTCTTTTTTTTTTATAAAAATGAATCGTAAGACCAGTGTGATTTGGGATTATTTCACAGTAATTGAAAGTGATAAAGCTAAGTGTGGATTTTGTAAGACAGTGCTTAAATTTAATCAATCTTCGACAACTAATTTATTAAGACATATAAAATCTATACATCCAACAACTGATTTGTCCAAACGTTCAAGACCTAATTTTGATGTAGAAGAAAATAACCCAGATGATCCTCCTAGTAACAATGGCAATCTATCAGCATCAACATCTTCTAATTCTGGTGTCGTATCAACTTCAACATCTAATAGAGATAGGTCYCCTCTTCTTCATCGTCAGCCGTCATCATCAATTCGTCCACAGCAATGTCAAATTTCTAATTATTTCAGCAAACCAGTAACTGCATCAAAAAGGCAATTAATTGACCAACAGGTAATTAAAATGATAGTAAAAGAATATTACCCCTTTAGTATCGTTGAAGATGTTGAATTTATAAAGCTGGTAAATATGTTGAACCCTGGTTATTCCCTTCCCTCTAGGAAAACCCTTTCAACATCATTATTGCCTGTTCTTTATAATGAAATATACAAAAAAGTCCAATCAGATATTGAAGTTAATGCACAGTATGTTGCCTTAACTACAGATGCGTGGACATCACTTAAAAATGAGAGTTATACGGCAATTACTGTACACTTCATAGATCAAAACTGTGAATTAAAATCATATTTACTTTCATGTGCAAAATTTCCAATGAGACACACAAGTGAAAATATTAAAKAYTRTCTTCAAAATATTGTAAGGCAATGGGGTTTGCAAAATAAAATAGCAGCTTGTACTACTGACAATGCTTCAAACATAACTTCAGCGATTCGCTTATGTCAGTGGAGACATGTTTCATGCTTTGCCCATAGCCTTAATCTTATTGTTCAATCTTCTCTGGACCAAATCAAAGAAACTAGAGTTAAAGTTAAAAGCATTGTCGAGTACTTTAAAAGAAGTACACTAGCCACAGAAAAATTGAACCAAATGCAGGAACAATTAGGTTACTCTCCAGTCCATACACTAATACAAGATGTAGTCACCCGTTGGAATTCTACGTTTCATATGTTCCAACGGTTTTTTGAATTAAAAACTCCAATATTGTCTTCCTTAGCAGATCTTAATTATGATGTCAGTTTAACTTCGGATGATTGGCAGATAATCAGTAAATCTTGCGATATTCTGAAACGAWTTGAAGAAATAACTATTGAAATGAGTAGTGAAAAAGGTGTAACAATACCTAAAACTATTTTATTTACCCAGGCTTTAATTAACTTTTGTAACAAACTAATGACCCAACATCAGACAATTCCATGCATAGACAGCTTTATACATAAATTAACTGAAGAAACAAATAAGAGATTTGGTCAGTTAGAAAAAGATATGCTGTTAGCTGAGGCAACATTTTTGGATCCTCGGTTCAAAAAATATGGATTCAAAAATCATTTTGCTTTTCAAGACACCAAAAGATCTATTGTCAACAAAGGAAAAATTATAATAAGTGAAAAAAATGTACAGCAACGTAACTTGACAACTTACCCGATACCACCGACAGCGAGTAATAAAGAAGATTCAATTTGGAACGACTTTGATTTGGAAGTTACTGATATAGTTCAGTCTCAGGATCCAAAAGCGTTGATGATTATCGAAGTAGATAAGTATCTTCAAGAACCTTTGATTGCAAGATCAAACGATCCATTAAAATGGTGGAATGAAAACAAAAATATTTACCCTACTTTGTTTGAAATAATGAAGCGGCGTTTTTGTATACAAGGTACATCTGTTCCGAGTGAACGTGTGTTTTCCAAAGGTGGACAAGTGGTAACTGAAAAA